GGAGGCCAGCCTTCGCTCTTCGTCGATGCCTGACTCAGGTAGGTATTACCTTCATCCTCTTCTCTGTCCCTTCCACCTACCTGCTTGTTCACCAACAGCCATCAGCTCTGCTTTCACCCGCAGGCAGGCCAGCTTTCCATGTGGTGGACACCGAGTTCTAAGCCAGAGACCCAGGCCCCAGCAGGCAGCAGCTGGAGGGATGCCACACCCCTCACAGGGCAGCCCCCAACTGCATTCTCCCTGCTTGCTGCCTGCCTACCTGCCTGATTCATGCTCACCTGCTCACATGTTCCCTGCTGCCTGTCCAAACATCCAACCATTGGCCTGTCTGCTGGGTGCTAACAAAGCTCTCATCGCTCCTTCACCTGGTCTGTCTGTCTCTCTCTCTGTCTTAGTAGTTGCCGGCGGACAGCATGGCCGTGCCAGCCTCCCACACTGAGGCCAGGCCTATACTCCTACCCATCATACCCTCCCCCAGGACCACTACCCCATGGCCAGCCAGGGGTCCAGAGCTAGCCCAGGCTGGGGATCTCAACTCACAAGATGTGGCAATTCCTTGGGTCTGAGGTTTCCCCTGCCTGCTCTCCTGCCTGCCCCACCTGCCTCATGTTGTGTGGGCCTTTTTTTTGTTTGTTTGTTTCATTCATTGTTGTTTTTTAATTATTTTAAATAAGGTTTTCATTTTTTAAATGCAATATCTCTGTATACTGGCTGGGCCCCACCCCCTGCGTGTGGCCCTCCCACAGTATTTTGTGCAATGAAGCCCCACTCCCAGCCTTTCCAAGGCAGGAACACAGCCCCCATTCAGAACCCCGACCATCACCAGACCCTGGGGTTGGCTAAGGGAAAGCATGCCTCAACCATTCACCTCCCTATCCCCCTGCCTGCCATCCCCAGCCGCAGAGGTACCTGAGGACTACCGGAGACTCTGGGAAATGGATGAGGTGGGGGGCCCCCACTCTTTCCCTCCTGCAGTTCTATAGCTGGGGCCTCCTTCCTTCTCAGGGTCTCCTTGGCCTAGCCCTCTTGCCCCCATCCCACTCGGTGCTGTTGAGTAGTGGCCCTGCCAGGAGCTGAACAACTCAACGAGGAGCCATAATGTGTATATGTGCACAGGCAGGGACAGAGGGGCGCGTGGGGGGTTGTGCCCAGATGTTAACCCCTAACCCCTGGGGAGGGTGAGGCAGGGCAGGGACAGTCTCTGGGGTCAGTCCCAGATGGGTGGTTACCTCCCCTTCCTCCACTCTAAACCCTGGGGCCCTCAAGTGGGGTGGGAGGGCATGGGTGGGGGCCCTCCTAGTGGGGTTTGGGAGGTGGGGTTCCTGAATGCACCATATTCGCTGTATTAAATATTAAAAAGTCTAAAGTGAAAATTGTGACTGCAAATCCCTATAGGGGTGAGGGTGGACTTGACCCAGGGTGAATACTAGGGCTTTGGCAAATTCATGCCTGGTCCTCATCATCTAGGAGAGCACTGGGAGTGGGCCAGGGACATGTCACAACTGTGAAAAAGGTATTTGAGGGGTTGCACATACATCAGTGGAACACTGAATTGAAGCAGGTAAGACAGGCTGAACAGAGGATGGGCTAAGAGAAGTTAGATTTACCCAAGAATTAGGAAACCAGATAGAGGGTGGAGACAAGAAGGTATAGAGAGGCTGTTTGAAAGATACATGGAAAGCCCAGTAAAACCAGGAGGTGGGGAGATGAGGCAGAGAGAGGCCCAGTATGACTACCACATGTCAGACCTAGACATCATGAGTTAGGCCAGTTGGAGAGAGACTATAAGAAGGTAAACTTTGGACCACTGAGTAAGTAGGGGAATCCTGTAGTACTTGGATTAAAAATTGGGAGTGGGTCCATCAATGAGCTGCAAGTTTGGATTATTAGTATCTAGGAAGAAATCAAAGCCATGGTGAGGTATGGGTGAAATGACCTTGGGAAGGATGCAATAGTTTGTGAGAGGCAGCCCCTGTCCCACCATTTTGGGCAAAGCCAAGAATAAGCTTCCAGGCAGAATAGGTGGGGTGGGCAGGGCCAGACAAATGCTGCAGGTAATAGTAAGCCTAATTAAGTAACTGGTTACTGAAGTGCAGCCTCAGGAGCCCAAAGGCGTCCAATCATTTTGCTATGTCCCTGTAAGCACTCGGGACATAAATCAGTTTGCAGCATTATGGTTCCATGATGGCTGCCATGTGCCCAAAGATGAGAAAGCAAGCAGGGAAAACAGGGCACCCTTCTTCCAGCTTGTTTCCTTGTAACAGGTCTGCAGCTTCCACAAAGTTCCCCCACAGACTTCTTGTGCCATCCCTTGGCTAGAATAAGATGATATGGCCACCTGTGGCAGTAAGGGAGGCTGGGAAAATGACCTTGCAAGGGGGAATAAGATGGCCAGGCCAGACTTAGAAGGGCTAGAATTCATGTGACTGCCCTGGGAAGTGGTAGGGCCATTGGTGTGGGCAGAAGTTGGCCTCTGGAAGGTGAAGAGACAGTCCAAGTCTGGGGAGGGAGGCCTTTTGGATGCTAGGAAGGACAGGCTACCCAGATAAATGGGGGGGGGGTCTGCAGAGAGGCAACAAGAAGAGTCAATTCAGAGTGTCAAGATGCAGCTGGTCTTGAAGAGCAATAACAGACTCAAGTGACACTGGGGTCCCCCAGGTGAAAGGGTGCTGCTTTTTCTGAGTTTACACAACTGAGTTGTGAACCCCTCCTCATCTGTGCCAGGTCTGGGCTGGGGGTTAGAATCAGTAACAAAGACAATCCCTGTCCTGCAGAGGTTAACTAAACACAGGTAAATTATGACATTGTGTGTATGGGGGTGGGGTTGAAATTGTTCAGAGAGGGGGTATTCTGGACACTCCAGGTCCAGGGAACCTGTGTACATGAGTGTAGAGGTGGGGAAGGACAAGGTGTGTTACCGCTTGTGGGAATGAGTGGTAAAGTGAAGGAAGCCACTGAAACAGACCCAGAATCATAAGCCTGTCTTGGGGAATTTGTGGGTTGGTCAGGTGGGGATAGCTAATCTATAGGTAGATGCAGGGAGCCAGAGGGACCAACGTACACCTGAAACTAATACAATATTGAATGTCAAATGTAATTGAAAAATAAAAGTTATCACCAACAGGTGGGGCCAAGAGCCCTAGCAGAAAAAAGAATGGCATAGCCTAGTGCAGTGATTCTGAACTGGAAATAATCCTGCCCCATCCCTACGGGACATTTGGCAATGTTTGGAGACACTTTAGTTGTCCCAACTGGCGAGTATCTATGGTAGGTAGAGGCCAGGGATGCAGCAAAACATCTGTTTCCCACGAGAAAGAAATGCCAACAGTGCCTAGGTTGAGAAATCCTGGCCTTGTACAATGGTTCTTAAACTTTTGGTCTCAGGATCCTTTTATATAATTAAAGTTGAAGACACCCAAAAGCTTTTTTCTCTTAGGTCATGTAGCCTCTGGAAAATTCCACCGCTCATGAAAGAGGGAATGACAGTAAAAATAGTTTTGACTTAGTGAACCTGCTGAGAGAATCTCCTGAACAGTGGAAAGCCAGGACCACAGTTCGGGAATCTGTCATGATGTTTTAAGGTCACAGGTCTGGAATCTGGGATTCCTGAGTTCGAACCACAGCTCAGCCACTTAACTAGCTTGGTCAAAGTGAATTAACATTTCTGGTCCTCAGCTTGTCCCCCTGCCCCACCCCCTGCCGCCTCCGTGGGCGACAATGATACTATCTGCTGCCTAAGGTTACTATTTACGTGCAATAAAGCAGGGCTATTACTATCATTGCTGTAACTCCGACAAATACACAGGGCCTGGGACTGACTTGCCTTCAACATATTTGTCAAGAGAAAATCTAGTTTAGTCAGGGAAGTGTCCTGCAAGCCTGAGTAGCCCTGAAAGTGGTCACCTCTTGCGCTGGGTTTTGAAGAATAAGAGGGTAGTGCATTGAAGGATGGACATTCTGTTTATGCTAACAAAAAACACTGCTCCCAGGGTAGGGACCTGTGGTTCCCAGCAGCGCACCGACCTATAGGACCCCAAACCTTAGTGACCCTGGGCCCTCTCCAGTATGTCCTCATCTACCTCATACATCTCTTCCTCCACCTTCCAAACAACCGCTTTGCCCTGACTGAACATGGCATTAGAATCCCACTAGACACCTTTATCTTTCTTAGCTCCCAACTGGAGGTTTACTCTGCCTGTTGGTCGCAGAGATAACCGCTCATGGTCCCAAATAGAGCCTAGCCCTTGGTCGCTTCCCACCATTGGGTCCACTTCCAAGATGGTAAGAGACCCACGATTGTTTGGGGGCTCCTTTTCCGTTTCCGGGACCAGAATCCGGAAGTGGCAGTTGAGGGGCCTCTTCCTATCTCCCACTGGGGGGGCCGTGGGAAGAGGGCTAACGGCGATGGCAGCGGCCGCAGAGAATCCGCCGGCAGAGGATGGAGAACCACTGCGCGAAGTGATGCCGGGCTTGGAGAGCCAACGGCGCCAGATCGAGAATGGCGAGAGTGGGCGAGATCGTCTACTGCAGGCCAGCGAAAGCTGGCGAGGCAGGGCTGCGAGCGGAGCCTCTGCTGAGGGGATAGTGGTGGTACTGACAACCGAGGGGGACGTGGCGCCTAGGCTCACAGGAGCTCTGACTGGGGGCGGGGGAATGGCCTGTGGGACACAGAATGAAAGGGGCGGGAAAGTGCCTGTGAGTGGATCGACTTTTCTGGGGGAAAGGGCGGGGCCTGTGTGTTGTAGCCTCACGTCCGAGAACTACGTGAGGTTTGTGGCGGGGAGACAGGAGGCAGAGCCTGAGAAGAAACAGCCATGGGGGTGGGCCCGAACCTGCGTGGTGGCCCTTGGAGCCTGGGAAGGAGGCGGTCTCCGCAAGGGTGACTGGGGGGGGCGTGTTCTTCTCGGCATCAAGTAGGTCTGGGGCAATTGTGGTTGCTCCGGGGAGCCTGAGAAGGCGGCAAGGCGGTGACGTAAGTCACAATAGCGAAATCCGAGCCCCACGGCTGTGGGCGGGAGAAAGGAGCCCGCGCCTGGGAACGAGGCTGGTGACGTAGGCCGAGGGGAGTGCCCTGAAACCGAGGAAAGACTGCTGCAGAGGGGAGGTAGTGTCTGTGAAGCAGAAAATGGCGCCTGCGAGGGAGCAAAGTTTGTGACGCGGCGTGGTTTCTGCCTCTGGTGGAGGCCGTCTTCCGAGGACTGGAGAAGAAAGGGCAGGTGATTGGCACGGGACGGGCCTTCGATGTTAAATTTGTTTTCTGCTTTAGTACTGTTTTGTTTTTATCATCAGGAAAAAATATTTTAAAAAATGCCAATGAGTATCTTCATAAATCGGCTTGTTTTACCGATTTCACTGCTAATTAGTGCTTGCAATGTACTATTTCTGGGTTTGTTTTCTTTTTCGCTGACTTGCATCTCGTTTTTTAAGTTGTGAAATATGTAAGCCCTGAACAGATTATACAAAACGTTTATTCTATAAAAATAAGTGGCATTTGCTAATCAAAAATTTTCAAGGTCGTGAAAGACAAAAGATGAAGTTCTATTCCAGATTGAAGGAATTAATGGGGGACTTAAGGAGTCATGATAACTAAATGCAACGTGTGATCCTGGATTGGATCCCGGAGGAGAAAATAAATAAATAAATAAATAATTACAAAATCAGGCTTTTTACTTTATAAAATTATTTTTCCCTCGTGTACGGTAAAAGATATTAATGGGAAAATGGGTGGAATTTCACTAGTCTGTAGATTAGATATTAATACTGGTAATTTCTTTTTAATAATTGTACTGTGGTTATAAAAGAGGATATCTTAGTAGAACGTACAAGCCAAAATATTTAGGGGTAAAGAACCATCATGTAAGCAGCTTACTCTCACATAGTTGAAAAATGGGACATATAAAAATGTACTTATAGGAACGATGATCGAGCAAATGGGTAAAATGTTAAGTTGGGAGTGTCTGGATGAAGGGTATACGGGAAGTCTTTGTATTATTTTTGCAATTATTCTGAGTCTATTTCAAAGTAAAGAACTTGAAGAAAACTAAAGCAAGAATTGTTTAATTCAACACACTGCTTAGGAATCAGACTGTTCCTTAAATCCTTCTGTGTTCCTCCCGGATGAAAATCCCTGCTCTATGGGAAACTGTTACTCTGAATTTTTAATTCAGTTCATGTTTTTCCACCACTGTATGCATTCATAAATATTATTTGTGGTCTAAGCTTTCATTTTATGGAGTGTGTATATGAAATATTGGATGTCTAGCATATCAGGTGGGTACATGGTATCCACATGATGTCATTGGTGACGTTGGCCTTGATCATTTGGAGAAGGCGGCATCTGCTTCGTTTCTCCACTGTACAGGTACTGTTTTCCTCTTTCCATAATTTATGCCCATCCATTTCTCAAAACATTTTAACAGCTTTCCATCTCATGCAGTGTAAATGCTAAAATTCTTACAATGACTTCCAAGGTATTATGGTTGGAGAGTGGTCCTAGGCTCTGATTTCTTCTCAGCTCTCTCCTCTTGATTACCCTCCCTCCCGCTCACTTTCTCCATCCGGCCATATTGGACTCTTGCTGCTGCTCTAACGCCTCGAGCGGGCTCTCACCTGATGGATGGCCTTTACAGGGAGATTTGTTGGTCTTAAAGAGTGCTTTAATCATGGTATTGGTGAATATATATTTCTGTTACTGGAGAGACAAAGTCGAGATTCCCTAAATTGGGAATAGAAACGGAGCATTTTTTTTTAAAAAACCATTGCACGATAGCTTTCTAGCAAGGAAAAGCCTCAATCCATCCTGAGAAAAAAACAATTATAACTGGATTGTTTCTTATAGCCCTTTGGAGGTGTTCAGGGTTCCCTTTTGGGAGTTGCAGATGTTTTGGAACTAGACAGAGGTTGTGGTTGCACAACATTATGAATGTATGGAATGCCACTGTATTTGCTTTTAAAATAGTTAATTATATGTTATGTGAATTTTTTAAATTTGTTATGTCAATAAAAAACATTCCCCACCAATGCTGGTTCAGTATTGAAGCCAGTTTATCTGTGTTATTGTGGATAATACCTTGAGGCGTTTTTCCTTAACTCCATTTTTTAAATGCTTACCTCTTTAGGTAATAGCAAATCATCTCAAGGTTCTTTAATTTGCCATCCATTTTCTAGGGGGTTGCTGCAGTGGTCAGGGAATTTGTGTTTATAAAGCATTTTGAAGCGATGGGCTAACCCCTAAATCATAAACCTCATATTACTATTAATATTTGCACCTTCTATCTTTTGTCAGTTGGCAGATCTGGGCAAGGGTAATTAATTAATTTGGCCATCTGAACTGATTTAATTTCTAAGAGAAGTTTATGTTTTAAGAGTAAATTTAAGTCTATGATAGCATAGCTTCCTTGGCAAATTTTAGTTTTTCTTTTTGAGGATGGTGAACCGTCTACAAACATAATCAAATCAGGAAAATCAGAGGGAGTCTCTAGAAGGTCTGCAGGGTATGGGTAGTCTCCTTACAGGTAAGCAAGCTTTGGGTTCTTTGTTCAGGTAAAGGAAGGAGGGTGGTTGGATTCAGTGTTGCAGAATGGATAGTGATATGTGAAGGGAAAGCAGCAATGTGGTATTCATTGAAGATTAAGGACTAGCATAGAAAAGTTGCTGTTATTCTGTCAGTGGAGAAAGCTGCACAGCATAGGGGGACCATTAATTTAATGAAGATCCTAAACTAAATCAACTGAAATGTTCATGTTTGATTGCTGCTATAGCTCTTACACAAGGTAGGATATGCCTTGGCTACTGGATCTAATTCTTTTGTAATTAAATTGGTACCCCCTTGTGCTTGTTCAGAATTTTCATGAACCGAAAGGGAAAAAGGGGTTTGTGAATCTAAAATCCTGAAGGGAGAAATCTTTTGCTAGATAGTCCACTGTACCAGTCTTTGTTGAAATTGAGCATGGGTATGCTTTTTAGCTTAAAAAGTATGTAGTTACTGAAAGATATTTATATTAGCATATTTAATTGTATATGTAAGTATAATTAGGAAGACAAACTTCGTTTGTCATTTTTAAAAAATATTAACTTTGAAAAATAAGAGCTTTTATAAAAATTTAAATTAATTAAAATTTGGAGAATTTTAGATAAACCTAGTTATGCCTATTGTCATTTCTTTTATAGAGTGAAGAAGCAAATCTTTGTTATCTCCCAGAGATAGTTCGGCATAAAAGACCATTTTAACAGTGTTAGTATTCTGAATTTGGAGCCTGAATTTGGGAAGGACAAATCAAGAATAGTTAGAAAAGATAAGATACAAGTTGAAGTAAAGACAAAAAATATTATAGTCAACTTCTTAAAAACAATGATAAACAGCAAAGATTATTAGGAGCTTAACTTTTATTTTTAAAGCAAGGAATCTCTTTAAGAAATGAGTTGAGGATGTCAGAAAGCATCAAGAGTTAACAATTTGGTAAAAAAGGAACTTCTAATCTGGGCATAAATTAATGTGGTCATCTTATAGACAAAGGCCTAAAATTAGAAAATTTGAAATTTAAAAGATACCATTTACAATAGCATCTAAAAAAAATATGATACCTAGAAGTAAATAAAATAATGCGGTACTTTTCAGCCAAACAATGACAACTCTGTATGACTGCCACCTGGGCTGGCAGATTGTAAGACATCCTGATTTCAGAGATGTTAAAAAAATTTTAAGTGTCTTTGAATTAAAGAAACATGGTAGCAAGTTTTGTAAAACTTCAGTCTTCAATGAAGCCCTTAGAAATTCAGGTTGTAGCCAAGTCTGGTGGTCTTGCTTACACCTATAAAGTGTATTTAATGTTAATTTTCCTTAAAAATCTGCATTTTAAAAGTTGAGCAATGTCTCCTTTTGCACTGAAAGTCCCATTAACAATAAATTAGCTTAACTGAATAAATTAACCTCAGACTGTCGATGGAGACAATGAAAAGCATGAAGAGGAGGGATGATGGTTCAGTGTTGGGACCTTCGAGATGAGTGATGAAAGGTTTGTGGCAGGAGCCACTTGGGTGGGGAAGGCATGTGTCTTTGGCACCAGTAAAGTGCCAAAGTCTGTAGGGATCAATGGGGGTGCACAGAAATGTTTGCCTGTTCAGGCAAGACTCCCTGACTATACCAAGGTTTTTCTATTCCTCCATCCCCTTCCTCTCTAATCCCTTTATAAACAAAGGAAAGTGGCCATTTTAAAGAATCCTTTTTATAGGGTTAAAGTGCTGGAAAACTAATCAATACAATATTACATATTATCAGTTTTGTAATTTTTTAAAGCACTTATTTGAGGCTGTTAAATACTTGGGATAGCTTTTTATGTGTCAGATTAGCTGATCAGGTTTGGGGACACAGGGATTGTATGTCTGTGTGTACATGAGCTTTTAGGTTGAAGCCTTGGGATTGAACAGTAACAGTTAAAATTTATTTCACACTAAATACGTGTCAGGTGTTTTCCAGGTGTGAGAATTTCTCAGGACATTTTACAAAGGCAAGTTGCACCAGTTTTAACTGTTTACCCTTGTAGTTTCTCCTTTAAAAGAGAGCTGGTAGAGCTGTATACTTAAAAATGGGTCACATGGTAAATTTTATGTTGTATGTTTTTTACCACATTTTTTTAAGAAGTGAGCTAGTCATCATAAGCTCAGAAATTTATTATAAGGCCAAAATAAACCCTGAATACAAAAATGATGAAAAATGGTGATATGCAGTCTTTGAAGGAAAACCTTATGATTCTTTTAGCATTTAAATTTTTTTTTCAATTTTTGAGCAGATTTTCAGAATTTACTAATCCGTTTCTTAGCTGAAGATTTTTGCTTCCATTTCTGTCTTGTTACAAACACTGCACATTTAATAGCTAAAACCTAATTATAGATTTTGAGCTTAATTTAACTGTGTTACACCATAGAATAATACAAGTGAATTATTGGTTATTCTATAATAAAACCTCATGTTCCCCAGCACTGTAGGTATGGGTTTTTCCCCTTTATGAACACATCTTCTGCTCTTAATCAAATCTCTTCTGGTATCCTAAGAAGTTAGGTAATCTGTACAAATCTGAGTTTTGATTAATAAGTTTTTCTTCTAATTTATTTATATGATGCTGAAACTTTTGTTTTGAATTCCGGGAGGAATTTTTGAAAATTGAGATATAAATGACATATAGCATTTTTGGTTTTAGGAATGCCTGAAACTTGTCATCTTGACTTATAATGTGTTGATAGTTTCAGTGTAACAACCTTGGGAAGTGGCAACATTAACCCCTGGATAACCATATGACACCCCTGTTACCTCTCTGGTCTAGGTTCCTTGTGGAGCGGCACTGGTACAAACTGTGGGAAGTGCACGTGCAGGGAGGAGACCAGGACTCCAGCACCTTCCCTGGCTGTATCAATAATGCTAAGCTCTTTGAAGGTACAGACCTCTGCCTGCCCACATCAGCCTAGCCCTGGAGTTCTTTTCCCTTCTGTCCCTGCAAATGACCATAGCCCCTTCTCTGGGTGTTAGGTCATTGGTAAAATGGCCAGATGACTCATCACTTTACTTCCCTGATTCTTCCTTTGCCTCCTCCCCCTGCTCCTCACAGATGAGGTAAACAGGCACCTGAAAGAGGGACTGGTGGAAGGTGAGGACTATGTGCTGCTCCCAGCGGCTGCTTGGCATTACCTGGTCAGCTGGTATGGCCTAGAGTATGGCCAAACTCCCATTGAACGCAAGGTACAGTGGGTGGAGTAGATTTTGTGGGGGATGCGGTAGGAGGAAGGCCTTATAGACCCAGCATGGGTCCAGACCCATGTGTGTACATGTGTCTCCACATGCGCTATGTAGATATGTCCGTGCCTACACTCCTCTCCCCTCATAGATCATTATACAGGTATCTTGGTGTATCCCCTGTATGTGTTTGCTTGTGCCTGTGCTCTTCATATCTCAGAGGTGGTTGTGCTGTGTGTGTGTGTATGCTTTGGGTATACTTGTGTGTGTGCTCTTCCACCCTGCCAGGTCGTGGAACTGCATGGCATTTATAAGGTCGAGGTGTACCCAATAGAACTGCTGCTTGTCCAGCACAGTGATATGGACACACCTCACACTGCTCAATTCAGCCGTACAGATTCTATTGGTGAGTCTAAGGATGTGTATGAGTTGGTGTTCCCAGCCACGTGTCATAGCTCAATACCTTAATGCCTGGGGTTTGACTGTGGCAGACTGAGAAGGCACTGGACAGACTGTAAAGGACTGAGAAGGCCTAGGTCAGGTTGGACAGAGGCCCTGAGGGTCTAGCAGTTAGCTGGTCTGGCAGAGGATATTTGCTGGGGGTCTGAAGTCCTGAATGTGGTTCAGCCATTGAGGACACAATGTACTGAACAAGCGTGCAAGGTCTGCGGAGATGAGGTGGGGTCTGGTGCCAAGATGGGTCTATTATTCAGTGTCTCAGGATGATCTTGAATGTGTTCCTTTACTGTCCACAGACCTAGTTTCACGCACAGCTCAAGAGCAGTTTCTAGTGAGCCCTCAGGAAGAGACACGGCTTTGGGTCAAGAACTCGGAGGGTTCTTTTGAGAGATTGTGCGACACACGCGTTACAGTTCTTGACGCTGCTCTCAATTCTGGGCAGGTAAGGGTGGAGAGTGCTTTTCTGTTCCCCAGCAGTGCTCAGACTGGGGGAGGTGAGAGCTAGGTGCCCACTAACCCTCCACAAATGCCTTTCCCATTTTTTCTTTCTCTTCCTCCTACCAGCTGGTCATCATGGAGACCCGAAGCAAAGATGGCACTTGGCCCAGCAAACAGCCACGTGCTGTGTAAGCCCTTGGGGTGTCTGGTCCAGAGTGGGGTCCCATAGTAGACAGAAGACGGAGCCCATGAGCACAGTTCACCCGCATGTAGTAGGCCCTCAGCTGATAGTTTCTCATCCACCCCAGGAGCAGCACATCGAAGGAGGATGAGAACTTCCAGGGCCAACCAGGCATCTGTGGTCTCACCAACCTGGGCAACACGTGCTTCATGAACTCGGCCCTGCAGGTGGGGCCATTAGGGCTATGTCTGACATAGCCACGGGGTGGGCTTTAAGCAGTGTGGATCAAGGATGGAGCTAGAGGGTCTTCAGGGCAAGGAGTCACAAGTCTGACTTCACATGTTCATGTTCCTTCCTGAAACATCAATAGCTTCTCGTCCACTGGCCCCCTGCTTTCCCATTTCTTCTCCCTCTTGTCACTACTTTCTTCTCCTAAAACGCTGCCCGTCTTCTCTCCCCTACTCCTGAACCTTTCCCCCATCCTTCTGTCCCTTCTCTCTTCCTCCTTCCTCCTCACTTCCTTTTCTCACTTCCTTCCTTGGTCATGTCTTTCTTCTCCACCTCATTCCCCTGGCCTTGCCCCCTGCAGTGCCTCAGCAATGTGCCACAACTCACTGAGTACTTCCTCAAAAACCGCTACCTGGAGGAGCTCAACTTCTGCAACCCTCTGGGCATGAAGGGTGAGATCGCAGAGGCCTATGCGGACCTGGTAAAGCAGGCCTGGTCTGGCCACCACCGCTCCATTGTGCCCAATGTGTTCAAGGTGTGACTCAGCCCTGAGCTGCCCCTTACCCCCACTTCTCTTGACTCTCTCAACTAACTCCCTCTTATGCTGTCGGCCCTTCCCATCTTCTCAGACCAAGGTTGGCCACTTTGCATCCCAGTTTCTGGGCTACCAGCAGCATGACTCACAGGAGCTGCTATCATTCCTCCTGGATGGGCTGCATGAGGACCTCAATCGTGTCAAGAAGAAGGAATATGTGGAGCTGTGCGATGCCGCTGGGCGGCCTGATCATGTAGGTGCTCCTGAAAGACCCCCATCCTGAGAGCCCCATTAAAGTCACTGGGGCCTCTCCCTTGGGGATTCTCTGGCTTCCCTAAGGTATCTTATACCCCACCCTACCCCTGACCTCAACTGGAACCTCACTCCCAACCTTGTCTCCAATACCACATGTACCCCCACACCCAACCCAGAGAACCCCCACCTAGTCTGCTGCCCAAAATAAACCCCAATCCTGACAGTGAAGTCTCCAGGCAGCCCTAATTGTACATCTACATCTGAACTTTGCCAGTGGCCCTAACCTTAACTTGAACCCCATGCACATCCACCCCAAACCATGGTTCCCCCTGCCTTGGGCAAGACCTGCTACTCCTATGACTCTGTCAACAGGAGGTTGCTCAGGAGGCCTGGCAGAACCACAAACGGCGGAACGATTCTGTGATTGTGGACACTTTCCATGGCCTTTTCAAGTCCACACTGGTGTGCCCTGATTGTGGAAATGTATCTGTGACCTTCGACCCCTTCTGCTACCTCAGTGTCCCACTACCTGTCAGCCACAAGAGGGTCATGGAGGTTTTCTTTGTCTCTATGGACCCTCGCCGCAAGCCAGAGCAGGTAGGGGGGAATGGGGACACAATGAGGGACAACATGTAGTCAGAGCTGGTTTGATTACTGTGCCATGCCTCAAGGTTCCTGCACTAACTCATTGCATGCCCTTCTTCTCTTTTGTGGGCACTTGCTCAGCACCGGCTCGTGGTCCCCAAGAAAGGCAAGATCTCAGATTTGTGTGTGGCCCTGGCCAAACACACTGGTGTCTCGCCAGAAAGGGTGAGGCTTTGTGGATGGATGGAGGGTGGGATTCAGGGGTAGAGAGGCCGAAGGGCCTATGCAGGGAGGCCTTACAGGCTGACCAGCCCCCTCTCGGTATCCCATTTGCAGATGATGGTGGCTGATGTCTTCAGTCACCGCTTCTATAAGATCTATCAGCTGGAAGAGTCTCTGAGCAGCATCTTGGACCGAGATGATATTTTCATGTGAGTGAGGGACCCAGGGAGATTGGGGTTCCTCGGAAACATCCTTTGCTTAACCTCTTTCCCTCTCCTCTCCTCACCTGATTGATGGGGCACCAGCCTTGCACAGGACTTCAGCCATGTGCCTTAGTGGGGCGGGTGACAGATCGTAATACAAGGCATCCTCTTCCTTATTATGTGAGGGGGACTCCTATTTCTTCTTTATTTTATTCAGCACTTACTGAACACCTCCTGTGTCCTAGATGCTGACCTGCACTCCTTTCTCATATCGCAGTCCTCACAAACCAAAACAGTTTTTGCAATAGGGAACACTAAGATGCTTTCTGAACACGAGAGCATTCAAAATGTTAAAATCTTTGGGTAACTAAAATAGAAAGTGCTTCATGAGTACAAAAATTCTTTGTAAACCAAGCAGTGTTTCTCAAAAAGAAAATGATTTTAAATCCCTTCATTACTAAAAGTTTTTGTTCACCCCCTCAATACTTTGGTAACACACAGTACTTTATAAAACATCACATAAACAATGTGCCATTTAAATTATAATTTGCATAGCACAAAACACTGGGTGACTCTTTAGACCCTTTTAAAAATATTTTCAGGCTTCGAGGGATGAGTGGGTGGGGGCAGTTGGGTCAGTCTGAAAGTCCCTCTTGGGTGTCCTAATTGGGCATGATCTGATGTCCACCCCCGCAGATATGAGGTGTCAGGCAGGTCTTCTATCAGCGAGAACACCAGGGAGGATGTGGTGCTCCCTATCTACCTGCGGGAACGCACCCCAGCCCGGGACTACAACAACTCCTACTATGGCCTGATGCTCTTTGGACACCCACTCCTGGTGTCAGTGCCCCGGGACCGGCTCTCCTGGGATGCCCTGTACCACATCCTGCTGTACCGCCTCTCGTGAGTCTGCCCTTCAAGGGATGAGTAGGATCTGAGCTCAAACCTGGGTGTCTAGCTGCTTGGATACCACCTCACCTCCCTTCTATGGCCACTAGACAGCTCAAACTTCATATGGCCGGATAGAAACATGTAGGTTTTTTTCTGTCTCTAAACCTCTGGCTTTGCCACCACCTCCCCTAGATGCTAGGGATACAGAGGTGAACAAAGTGGACAAAGTACAGACAACTTCACCTTGTACTTGTCTCCTCCTTGGAGAGGCTTGCTTATTTGTGTTTTTACCAATAGATTTTTATTTGGTTTAAAATCCAGAGTCCTTCCTTAGGCCAGCAGAGCACTGCTTGCTGCCTGGTCTAAACCCTCCCTTATGTTCCACTTACAAATCCACTCCTCAGAAGTCTTTCCTGACCAAAATTTACAGCAGATTGTGTGTCTGTGTGCCAGTGGCTTATCCCACTTAAGATCCACCAGATCATCCACTCTTGGACCGTGTCTTCCATGTCACCTCCTGAGACTTTCCAGGCTCCTCATTAACAACTGTTTGTGCAGGCACTTACAAGTGGCTTCCCATTGCAGACAGTATGGAATCTTGGCCTCTGTCCTTCCTGCCCCATGCCCCTCCTTGAGAGTCTTCTCTGTTCTTTTTGTAGACGCTATGTGACCAGGCCCAGCTCGGATGATGAGGATGATGGCGATGAGAAAGGTGAGGAAGAAGAAGGCAAAATGGTACACAAGGATGAGGGTTTGTACAACAGTCCGCAGCCAGAGGGAGGGATTGTGGGGTGGGGGAGTCTAGGGTAAGTCTGACCCCCACAGGATCCACCTGGATGATTATTGCTGTTCACCCTCTGGGGCTCACACAGACCCAACTCTGACATCTTCCCCTATCCTAGTAGATATGGAGGGTAAGAACAGCATCCCCAAGCCTGGAAACATGGCTGGGGGCAGCTCCCACAACTCTGGGCCAGAGCAGGCTGGGCCCAGCTCTGGAGTTGCTGGCGGGAGCCGGGCCCCTGTGAACAACTCTCCTGGACCATCTCACTGGCCCCAGAGAGCACGGCGCAAGCACCTGTTCACCCTGCAGACAGTGAACTCCAACGGGACCAGTGACCGCTCGAACTTTAACGAGGATACTCATGGTGTTTCCTTCAGCTGTGAGCCAGGGTTGGGGAGGTGGGAGGGGGGTTCCTTGGCAACAGGACCCATGACCACTTCCCTTACCCCCAGCCCAGCCGTACATTGCCATTGACTGGGAGCCAGAGATGAAGAAGCGTTACTATGACGAGGTAGAGGCTGAGGTAAACAAGGCCCCAGGGATGGGGGGACACTTGCAGCTGTAGCCCTTCAACTCCTCACACAGATTTTCCAGGGCTTCAGATTCCTGTCTTCAGAGTCCATGCTCTTATCATTCTGCCTTGTGTCTTCCACCCCCCACTCCCTTTTATCCACCCACACCTGGTGGGCCTCCACTCCCCCACTCTAGGGCTACGTCAAGCATGACTGCGTTGGGTACGTGCTGAAGAAGGCTCCAGTGAGGCTGCAGGAGTGCATTGAGCTCTTCACCACTGTAGAGACCCTGGAGAAGGAAAACCCCTGGTGAGGGACCAGGGCCTCTGGGGCTATCATTGGGTGGTACCATCTGCCCAAGTCCCTATTCTAAATATAACCTCTCTTCCCCTCAAACTCATCTGTCACTCTGGCCACCAACACCCCAACCATATTCCCACCTCAGAGCCTTTGCCTGAGTTGTTCTTTCACCCAGGAACGCTCTTTGTCCAGTCCTGGACAAGATTCCTTCAATTTGTTCAGGTTTCCAATCAAATGTTACCTTATCAGAGAGATGTTCTCTCATGACCCCATTACTTCCCAGTGCTCTTCCTGGCTGAGCATTACTTTCTTTTTAGTTCAGTAATACCACTCGATGTCACATCCTAGATCTTCTTTTGTGTCATTATTTGTCTTCTCTGTCAGAGTAAACCCCTTGAGGGTGAAGACTTCAAGTGCACTGTGTCTCTTTTTACTGATTATAATGGTATAATGGTATGGAGTATGCAGTAGGTGCTCAGTAGATACTTGCAGAATAACCAGAACATAAAGAGAAAGCCAAAAAGGTGAAGCTAGTCAGTAAGAGTGACACCTTTGCAGGCAGAAAGGGAACAAATGCAAAGTGCCAAAGGATTGAGCAGTACAGTCAGTGACAACCTGGTAAGTGAGTGAAATAGGAAGAGAAAAACGAGAGGGCCAAAGGCAGGCTCCAAAATAAGACTAACACCATCCCATGGACCAGAAACCAAATGAAAATACACATGAGTACAAGAACCCATAAAGAGAAAGCAGTTGGTGAATCCTTGATGAGTGACATGTGAAGAATGAACTAAGTAACAAGCAGGCTGGAAAGTAACAAGCAGGCTGGAGGTAAGAGCAGCATCTCTGGACTGGACAGGGCCCATGAAGGTCACTTGGTACAGAGCATGCCCAGAAGGTGTCTGGGTTCTGATTTCGGCTCTCTCTGTAGGTACTGCCCCTCCTGCAAGCAGCACCAGCTGGCCACCAAGAAGCTGGACCTGTGGACACTGCCTGAGACTCTCATTATCCACCTGAAACGCTTTTCCTACACCAAGTTCTCCCGAGAGAAGCTGGACACCCTTGTGGAGTTTCCTATTCGGTCTGGGGTCCAGGGAGGCTGGCTGGGGGAAAAGGCAGGGAGTTGGGAAGGGGGTATGCTCTTATTAACCCTACCACCACCCACAGGGACCTGGACTTTTCCGAGTTTGTAATCAAGCCACAGAATGAGTCAGCCCCGGAGCTGTACAAATATGATCTCATCGCGGTGTCCAACCATTATGGGGGCCTGCGTGATGGACACTGTATGTGGCAGGGGTGTGCCCTGGAGAGGGGGAGGGTCAGGACATCCCCAGTGGGTGATTAGATGTGTGAGCCAGCTGTGGCATCATCAGGGTGAGAGGAGTGAAAGAGTGAACCTGACACCTCTTAGGGACTTCAGGGTAAGTGAGGACATTTCCCCTTTTCTTCCAGACACAACATTTGCCTGCAACAAGGACAGCGGACAGTGGCACTACTTTGATGACAGCAGCGTCTCGCCTGTATCTGAGAATCAGATTGAGGTATGACTTCTGAGTTCCCTTCTCCCCTTGTCCCAACCCCACCCCCCATCCCAATCCACACTGACTCCTATGCTCTCCTTGCAGTCCAAGGCAGCCTATGTCCTCTTCTACCAACGCCAGGATGTGGCACGTCGTCTGCAAGCCAAGCCCCAGTCTGGCTCATCTGGTCCCCCAGCACCTCTTACTTGTGAATCCCTGCCCAAATCTGAGTCCATGGATGTAAACTGAACAGCTCTGGCCCTGCCACAAGAAAGGCAGCTATTTCTGTTCTCTTCCTTCTTCTCTCTATTCCTGTCCTCTTAACCTGTGTTAGATTCCCCCTGTGCCAGGTATCACAGGCTTAGTTGTGGCTACTGTTCTCTTGTGCTGCCATATTGCTCTTTCCTGGGGAAGAAGTTGTGTCTCCTCTCGGCAGTGTGTCCCTGCCTGTGTTTGCCCCGTAGAGCATTAACCTTCCCTTCTATCCTCTATTTATGGTTGTTCCCTTTCCTCTGTCCTCAGCCTGTGTTGTTCTGAGGGGGTGGTGGTTGGGTACACCTGAACAGAGTGTATTTTCTTATTGAGACCCTGTACCTTTCGCTGTGTATATATAAAGTACCAGTGTGTTCCTTGGCAGTGTGAGGGGTTTTTTTTGTTCATATATCTACTAAGCACCAGTTGTATGTCTATGTGGTTATGTGTGCTTATGCTTATTGAATGCTGCATGTGTGGTGGATGCTGTGCTTATTGTGTGCCAGCTGTGTGCCAGGTGCTATTCTAAGTGCTTTTGAAGTACCATCTGCATGCCACACACAATTCCCAGCACAAAGTGCATTCCCAGGGTTTTCCAGAGCATTTTATATATACTGACTCATAATCCTCACAACAGTCCCACACAAGAGTTGTCATTTCCAGTTTCTGATGGGGAAATTGAGGTACAGAGGTCAAGCAATTGCTGAAGTTCTGTCAGGAGGTCAGCACACCTCACCAGTTACAGTGGTGTTGGTCTCTGGAGGGTCTCATTTGGCCTCTGGGTCCAAGATGAAAATCTTTCTGTGGGCATGATCTGCACTACAACTGTACCTGGAATTTGCATTCACGTGGGCAAATGTGTGGTTTCTGGGCACAAGGATACCATAACAGACACAGGCCCCCAGCAGTGTTCTCTTAAGAACTGCAAAAGAGGTACACCTGGCCCAAACCCGCCAAACTCACAGGATAAAAGTTCTGTGTCTCTTCCCCCTGTACTTAGGCCCTATCCCATCATGACCCCAGTTCTCCCACCAGGCAGGATCCCTCCAGCCTCATTCCAGAGAAGAGTGAGCTGGAGCATCTACCACTGAATGGCTATAACCTAGTGTGAGCATAAGATCCCATTTAAGCACTGGACATCTCCCACCTGACCCCACCTGTGAGTGCCAACTATCACCTCAAAAACAGCTTCTGTGAGGACAGCTGTGGAATGGAGTGGGCAAATGCATGGTATCTGGACATAAGCCCCTCCTTACCCTTAACACTGAGGAAAGGAATCCTGCTCAGCTGCGGTTAAGGGACCATTCCCACAGTTGGGAGCTTCAATGTTCCCCCCAGCCTGCTGCCTTTGCACCAGACCTGACAAGACCTACTCTGAGGGTCACTGGACCCAGCATTACCACCCACAAACCTCCCAGCCATACAGTTAACACAGGCAAAAATCAAGGTAGCTCCTGTGAGGGGCCTAGCTCAAACTGACTTAAGGAAAATTAAGAGATACTAGTTTCAGGTCTGACTGGATCCAGGAACTCGGAAAGGTGTCATTTATTTTTTTAAAAGCTGTCATTCAAATCTCAGGTAGAACTACCGGCCAAGATGGAGGCGTAGGTAGACACTGTGCCTCCTTACACAACCAAAAGAAGGACAACAACAATTTAAAAACAGAAAAGAGCCAGTACTGATGGAAAACTGAACCGTGTGGAAGTCCGACAACCAAGGAGTTAAAGAAGACACATTCATTCAGACTAGTAGGAGGGGCAGAGTCGGGCAACCATGGTGGAGAGGACTCATGGCAAAGCAGCAGCTGACAGACCCCAGGCCCCAGGTGCGTAGGATGGTGGCTGGCAGACCTAGAGAGGTGGCAGACTGTGGAGCTCAGTGAGGTGTGCAAGGCGACAGGCAGTCCCACATTCTCGTGCAGATAAACCAGACAAAACTGGGGAGCAAGACAGACCACACAACCCAGGGTCCCAGCATGGGGAAATAAAGCCTCAAAACACCAGTTGAAAACACCTGTGGGGGTTGAGGTACTGGGAGAAACACTCAGCCTCACAGGAGAGTTCATTGGAGACACCCACAGGGTACTAGAACGTATACAAACCCACCCACACAGGAAACAGCATCCAGAAGGGCCTGATTTGTTTGGGGGAAGTGGGGAAAATGACTGAAATCTGGTAGAGAGGACAGCAAGTGCCATTGTTCCCTCTCTGACCCCTGCCCCACATACAGCATCACAACCTAGCCACCTGGGTTGCCCTGCCCTGGTGAACACCTAAGATTCCGCCCCTCACTATGTAACAAGCACATTAAGACAAAAAAAAAAAAAAGGCCCAAACGAAAGAACAGATCAAAGCTCTAGCAAAAATACAACTAAGCAACAAAGAGATAGCCAACCTATCAGATGCACAGTTCAAAGCACTGGTGATCAGGATGCTCACAGAACTGGTTGAATTTGGTCACAAATTAGATGAAAAAATGAAGGCCATACTAAGTGAAATAAAGGAAAACGTACAGGAAACCAATAGTGATGGGAAGGAAACTGGGACTCAAATCAACGGAGTTCACCAGAAGGAAGAAACATCCATTCAGAAAAGAATGAAGAAACAAGAATTCAAAAAAATGAGGAGAGGCTTAGGAACCTCCAGGACATCTTTAAACATCCCAACATCTGAATTATAGGGGTACCAGAAGGGGAAGAGGAAGAGCAACAGGTGGAAAAGTTATTTGAACAAATAATAAAGGAGAACTTCCCCAATCTGGCAAAGGAAATAGACTTCCAGGAAGTCCAGGAAGCTCAGAGAGTCCCAAAGAAGTTGGACCCAAGGAGGAACACACCAAGGCACACCATAATTATATTACCCAAGATTAAAATTAAGGAGAGACTCTTAGAAGCAGCAAGAGAAATGAAGACAGTTACCTACAAAGGCGTTCCCATCAGAGGGTCAGCTGATTTCTCAAAAGAGACCTTGCAGTCAATAAGGGGCTGGAAAGAAGTATTCCAAGTAATGAAAGGCAAGACCTACATCCAAGATTGCTCTATCCAGCAAAGCTCTCATTTAGAATGGATGGGCAGATAAAGTGCTTCTCAGATAAGGTCAAATTAAAGGAGTTCATCATCACCAAGCTCTTATATGAAATGTTAAAGGGACTTACCTAAGAAAAAGAAGGTAAAAAACGTGTACAGTAAAATGACAGCAAGCTCACAATTATTAACAACCACACCTAAAATAAAAACAAACTAAGCAAACAACTAGAACAGGAACAGAACCACAGAAGTGGAGATCACATGGAGGGGTATCAACAGGGGAATGAGAGGAGAGAGGGGGAAAGGTACAGGGAATAAGTAGCATAGATGGTAGGTAGAAAATAGGCAGGGGGAGGGTAAGAATAGTAAGGGAAATGTAGAAGCCAAAGTACTTATGACACATGGATATGAACTAAAGGGGGGAAATGTGGGTGGGAGGGAGTGTGCAGGGTGGAGGGGAGTGAAGGGGGAAAATGGGACAACTATAATAGCATAGTCAATAAAATATATTAAAAATAAACCTCAGGTAGATTGTAGATTTAAGCACTGTTACCCCATTTTGCAGATGAGGAAGCAAGCATAAAGAGCTGGTTCAAAATGGGCTATAAGGACAGAAAGACATTGCCTATGGATAATTAGTCCTGGATAAAGCCCTCCTAAAATGAAGTCATTTAAATTTGCTTCCCTGATATAACCAAAGACGTCTTGAGAAGACAACAGACAATTACATAAAGACGACTAAGACTTCTCAGACATCAGCTCTGGCCGGGTTGCTCAGTTGGTTACAGCATCATCCCAACACACCAAGGTTGCAAGTTTGATCCCTGGTCAGGGCACATAACAAGAATCAACCAATGGCCCTGGCTGGTGTGGCTCAGTGGGTTGAGTGCTGGCCTGACAACCAAAAGATAGCCAGTTCAATTCTCAGTCAGGGCACATACCTAGGTTGCAGGCCAGGCCCCCAGTTGGGAATGTGCAAGAGGCAACCAATTGATATATCTCTCACACAATGATGTTTCTCTCCCTCTCTTTCTCCCTCCTTTCCCCTCTCTCTAAAAAGAAATAAAGTCTTTAAAAAAAGAATCAACCAATGAGTGTGTAACTAAGTGGAACAACAAATGTTCCTCTCCCCCTTCCTCTCTAAAAATCAATACAGAAAGTTCTCAGATGTCAATGTAAATGAGCTGTGTTTACTTTAGTCGTGTAAATGAACATGATTACAAGTAAGCAAGAAATTTATAAAATTTGAAAAATGAAAATGAATTTTAAAAAGAACCAAGTAGAAATGATAGACCTGAGGTAGATAATAACAAAATTTAAGAAGTCAATGGATGAGTTTAAGAATACATCGACATAGGGGAAAAGGGAATTGGTGAACTGGCTCTAGGTAAAAGTGTACTAAGGAATACAATACATCTTTTAAAATATTTTCAATTAGACCTGGCTGGGTAACTCAGTTGGTTAGAGTGTTGTCCCAATGCACCAAGGTTGTAGGTTTGATCCCCAGTCAAGGTACATACAAGAATCAAGCAATGAATACATCAATAAATGGAACAACAAATATTCTCCTCCCCGCCTTTCTCCTCTCTGTAAAGTCAGTAAATAAAAGATTTTCAGTTGGACTTATATCATTTGATAAATTAAGGCTATCAAACTAAAGACTAGAGAGAGTATAAATTTCAAACAAACAGAGGGAAGGAAATAAATGAATAATAAATACATCCAGAACAAAGCAAGAAGAAAGGAATATGGAACAAGGTACACATACACAATCATTTGCAAGTAAGGTCTGCTTTGGCCTCTCTGGTCTCAAGAGAGGGAACTGGGAATCTGGCTGCTGATTTTGAGATCTTGACTGCCATCAAGAGACCATGACTGCCATGGCAACAGGGAGAGGATAGGGTGAGGGCAAGTAAGAATGTCACAAAATGTTCCTATGACTTTGAACATGGTCTTTTCTTGATTGGATGCTTACTTGATTGCTATAAACCTTTCACTAGTATTTTTCAGTTTCTGATGAAGGATGGGATCTTGGAGCTTCCCAGTCTGACATTTTGCTGACGTTATTTCCCTTGAGTATTGTTTTACATGCGGTTCTTTTTTTTAAAAAAATATGTTCATTGATTTTAGAGAAAGCAGGAGGAATGGGGGAGAGAGAGAGAGAGAGAGAGAGAGAGAGAGAGAGAGAGAGAGAGAGAGAGAGAGAGAGAGAGAGAGAGAGAGAAAAGAAGGGAGAGAAACATTGATGTGAAGAGAAACATCAACTGGTTCCCTCCCATACATGCCCTGACTGGAGATCAAACCCACAGCCTAGGCACTTGCCCTGATGGGAAATTAACTGCCAACCCTCTGGTCTATG